TCTGTGTGATTCCATTAATGTAGACAGCCCCATTACTTCATACTATTCTTCACATTTCTCTCCAACATAAATCTTGTTCTCTCACATGATGTTGGTAGCCAGTACAATACCTGTACCCAGATGTCTTATGTGTGACCTAACAGGAAAAAATTAAGAATATATTACTGCTATATTTAATAAAAGTCTTACACAACATATCCAAGATTAACCTTAACATTACCACACATACAGCAGCTTACATAAAAACGTCCAAAATGACAGAGAATTTTTCTATACTCGAGTCATTGAATATTTTCAGGCTAAAAGACTTTTATTATAGAGGTATAGTACTTCCATATTCCAGCACTAAGCACAAGCTTTCAATATAATTGGTCAAATGATCTTCACCAAAACACTTACACTAGCATCACGGTTCTACTTTCATTTGTTTCAACTTGTTTTCAGAAAGATGTTCTCAATTTCTGGTTACTGGTTGCAGTTACAATGCCCTTTGTCATTTATTTTTTAAACCATTTACAATAAGTTTACAAATAATTTTAGGCCAAACAATAATTTCCTTAAGTGCAGTAAAATATATTATGTTAATGCATGACAGTTGTCCTTCAAAAATAATGAACAGTAACTCTATGGACACTTTCGATCAACCTGTGATTTGCCTGATTCCTCATATTCCTGTTTGCTTATCCACATCTGTTGGAAGGATCCCAATGAGGCAAGGATTGAGCCTCCGATCCATGACCCAAATCTTCTTTCTGTTGTGCCTGTAGCAGATATCAATTTGAATCTCATGTTGGGAGGCGTTCGGCTCGACAGATCCCGATTGAGACGTTCAACATATCCATTCAAGAGCGAGTTTCCACCAGTTACAATCACACCAGAGTAGAGGCTTGGCCGTAGGTCTATGTCACACAAGCCAATACTTGTCGAGACAACATGCGACATTCCAAGCATAGTTGAACCAACACCCTTGATGTAACTAGGATCAAAGAGGCTCTCTGTGATCCTGTATCGTTCAATCCCGTACTCCTGTAACAAAATAACACCATTAAGACATGATGACTTCGACGTGAACAAATTTTCAGGATTCCGTACAGTGTCAATTTTTATGGGAAGGTAACCGAACCCCCAGACAAGATAGGATTTTTGCTTCCTTCAGAGGACTCGGAATATAACACTATTCAACTTCACATACTTAGTAACAACCACAGAGATGTTTTGAGGTTGAAGGTTTGGTTGTGTTAGGTGAATATTGGCCATGAAGTAAGCAGGTGAATGGCAGTGTGTGAGGAGGTACTGCAACGATGACAGAGTGAACGTTGGGAACACTGTACTGTATAGTACAGTACTGTTGTGATGTATACTTGTATATGTATGACAAGGAAGGAGCACTGTATAGTACAGTACTGTTGTGATGTATACTTGTATATGTATGGTAAGGAGGGAGCACTGTATAGTACAGTACTGTTGTGATGTATACTTGTATATGTATGGTAAGGAGGGAGCACTGTATAGTACAGTACTGTTGTGATGTATACTTGTATATGTATGACAAGGAAGGAGCACTGTATAGTACAGTACTGTTGTGATGTATACTTGTATATGTATGACAAGGAGGGAGCACTGTATAGTACAGTACTGTTGTGATGTATACTTGTATATGTATGACAAGGAAGGAGCACTGTATAGTACAGTACTGTTGTACAGTACTGTATGTACTTGTATATGTATGGTAAGGAGGGAGCACTGTATAGTACAGTACTGTTGTGATGTATACTTGTACATGTATGGTAAGGAGGGAGCACTGTATAGTACAGTACTGTTGTGATGTATACTTGTATATGTATGGTAAGGAGGGAGCACTGTATAGTACAGTACTGTTGTGATGTATACTTGTATATGTATGGTAAGGAGGGAGCACTGTATAGTACAGTACTGTTGTGATGTATACTTGTATATGTATGGTAAGGAGGGAGCACTGTATAGTACAGTACTGTTGTGATGTATACTTGTATATGTATGGTAGGAGGGAGCACTGTATAGTACAGTACTGTTGTGATGTATACTTGTATATGTATGGTAAGGAGGGAGCACTGTATAGTACAGTACTGTTGTGATGTATACTTGTATATGTATGGTAAGGAGGGAGCACTGTATAGTACAGTACTGTTGTGATGTATACTTGTATATGTATGGTAAGGAGGGAGCACTGTATAGTACAGTACTGTTGTGATGTATACTTGTATATGTATGGTAAGGAGGGAGCACTGTATAGTACAGTACTGTTGTGATGTATACTTGTATATGTATGGTAAGGAGGGAGCACTGTATAGTACAGTACTGTTGTGATGTATACTTGTATATGTATGGTAAGGAGGGAGCACTGTATAGTACAGTACTGTTGTGATGTATACTTGTATATGTATGGTAAGGAGGGAGCACTGTATAGTACAGTACTGTTGTGATGTATACTTGTATATGTATGACAAGGAGGGAGCACTGTATAGTACAGTACTGTTGTGATGTATACTTGTATATGTATGGTAAGGAGGGAGCACTGTATAGTACAGTACTGTTGTGATGTATACTTGTATATGTATGGTAAGGAGGGAGCACTGTATAGTACAGTACTGTTGTGATGTATACTTGTATATGTATGACAAGGAGGGAGCACTGTATAGTACTCTACAACACTATTGTACAGTACAGGGGGCTCTCATTATACAGTACCAGTATATATACAGTCACCCAAAAAAGTCCTGTCGCGAACCATGAACCCCGAGATTCAGACTTTTGAATCCGAAGCATTTATGGACAGAATACTGTATCAGTGTCTACTGCTTCACGTTCACAAGTCTGAATCTCGGGGTTAATGGTTTGCGACAGGACTTTTTAGGGTGACTGTACATTAACTGTTGCTAACACATACTGTTTGGGAAGAAATCTTCATTTTAAGTAAATTTTTTCACATACATTATACTGTATGTCATCTGCATCATCCACTGTTTTATAATGAGTCTGTGTGTACCTGATTATGAAGCATGAATATCTTTAAAGGCACAAGATATAATGTAAAAACAACCATAAGAAGTAATAGAAGTGTCAAATTTTTACCACAACAAAATATGGCAGTCACCTCTCACATGACCGAGCTTTGTTATGTGCAAGTAACCACAGAATAGCCACTTCAATGTGCTAGTGAGTCTTATTATTAAATAAAATACTGTGCAGTAATATAAAGATATAAAATAAGGAAAAATAAGTCTTGCAAAACAACAATAATGTCCCATTCATAACAAATAATGTAAATACCTGTAAATAAAGTGATGTTAAACAACATATAGTACTGTACTGTACAGTCATGTCAAAATGGGATTTTACTTACAGATTTTAGTAAGGAGTATACAGGGATACGTGCAGACTGCCTGTACAGCATTCATGATTCATTAATTGTTGTCTAATTGTACAATAGGAACTCACATTGTTGTATCCAGTTGGAAATTCAAATGGCTCAGTAGGGATGCTGGTAATGGTCTCTTCATCATAAGGAGCTTCAGAGCAGTGCAGCATCGTTTGTTGAAAATCACGTACAACTTCCCTCTTCATGTAGTTGTGCCACGAGCTGGTCACCTCCGCCACATTGTTCTTCCTCGTCCATTTGGGTCGATCACCTTCCTTAACCAGTTGTTTATCAGCTATCAGGTAAGAAGGGACTATATCCACTTGTGATTCTTTAAGGTAGTTATTTGCCTGTGAATAAAGACACTAATATATGAGAGAGAGAGAGAGAAATATAATAACTTAAGGGGGGGTCGCTCCATCGCCCTCCCCCCCTCCCTTCGATACACCTATGCACCCAGAGCCTGAATAGGATAAGCGATGTTTTTAAAAAAGAGAGAAAATTACAACAAATTAACATATGAACATATTCTCTTGCATTGTTTTATAGGAAATTGTGTACACTTTCTTGGCAACATGCACCAAAATACTGTACTGTACTGTAAGTGTGGTGCTAACTCTATATGTGGTCAAGACTAATGTATGGGTCAGAAGTGTGGACACTTTCACCAGAAAGAGGTTATGGAGGCCTCTGAAATGTGGTGTTATAGGAGAATGCTAAAAATAAGTTACACTGTCAGGGAAGCAAATGAAGAAGTACTAAGATTAGCAAAAACTTCAGAAGACACACGGGCCCTTCAAATTCGTGGGGGTTACGTTCTCAAAATGGCCGCAAATTGCTAAATCTATGAATAACATTTGCTGACCTGGGGGTACACCTGCCCTATGTCCTGACCCCCTGGGACACACACACACACACCCTACTGAGTTGCTTATAATACTATGAAATATGACATGGGTTACAGAATAAATTGTGATCATCATTAAGTGTAGTGTTTATAGAAAGTAAGTTATATTGAAAAATTCTTAACCCTTCCCTCACCGAGGGTGGATCAGGTGGAGGGTTATATTATAATGCTTCTAATAGTGGCGGTGTATGACGTCATTGATCTTTAATAAATTAAATACTAAAAATCAACGAATAGAATACAACACAAGCAACACTCAGCCAATGAGAGATAGAGTACATGATGTAATGTATGAACATGTAGAGCAGTGGCCACTATACTGGCTCATGGTCATCCCCCCCCCCCCTAAAAAATATCAACGTATCTCCGCGATTCACATAGGTTGCCTAAAATGATGGGAAGAAAACGGAAAATCGAAAAAACAAAAGGAATTGCATCATTGAGATTTTACTGTACTTTGGGCATGTAATTGGGGATGAGGGAATAATAACAGAAGAATTAATGGGCAAAGTTAAGGGGAGGAAGAAAGGAAGGCAGAGACTGAGATGGATGAATTAAATTAAAAACTGGGGCCCCAGAGATACAAAACTTTAGAGGCTTGGTAAAAACACCCCAAGAACATTTAGAGTGAAGGACTGTGGTAGCCAACCCTCAGAAATGAAGTCAGTACTGTACTCTGAATGACTGATACCATTTGACCATAATTCCCATATTATTTAGGTTCACTTGGTACAGGTTGATAAAACATTATCATAAAATTATCACCAAAAAAAAAGACTCCCACACCCAACCCCAGAGGAGTTATTTTATCAAATTAAATAATTGCAGGGAAGACTTGACAACAAAGACCACATCTACTACACAGCTGCAGGGAAGACTTGACAACAAAGACCACATCTACTACACAGCTGCAGGGAAGACTTGACAGCAAAGACCACATCTACTACACAGCTGCAGGGAAGACTTGACAACAAAGACCACATCTACTACACAGCTGCAGGGAAGACTTGACAACAAAGACCACATCTACTACACAGCTGCAGGGAAGACTTGACAACAAAGACCACATCTACGACACAGCTGCAGGGAAGACTTGACAACAAAGACCACATCTACTACACAGCTGCAGGGAAGACTTGACAACAAAGACCACATCTACTACACAGCTGCAAGGAAGACTCGACAACAAAGACCACATCTACTGCACAGCTGCAGGGAAGACTTGACAACAAAGACCACATCTACTGCACAGCTGCAGGGAAGACTTGACAACAAAGACCACATCTACTACACAGCTGCAGGGAGACTTGACAACAAAGACCACAGCTGCAGGTAAGACTTGTCAACAAAGGTGATAATGGCAGACAGTCCATCACACACTGCATCAAAGGTTTATATCTCAGGTTAATGTGTCCTTGTACCCCATCTACAGTAAGGTGGGAAACAGTACTTCAACATCAATCTACAACTTGAATGTAAATTTTTTCTTTGCTAGTTTTACTTAACCCTTACGCCCAGGGTGACGTTTCAGAACGCGCTCCTTTTCCCGCCACTGTTTAAATGTCCAGTGTGGGTTATCAGGTTCCAGTGTGACTATTTACCTGTCACGCCACAGACTCTGCTACAGGGAAGCTTCCTGAACTTTTGTTCGTTTCATTTTATCGTGTTGTATCAAAGTAATATTGCTAAAAGTAGTGTAGTTGTATTGTAGTGAAGTATTACTGGATGTTAATGCTATGATTATGTTATCAATGTATTTATCTGTGGAATTATTATTCCAATGATTATTTCTATGCATTACTTGCTCTACCAAACACAAAGACAGCCTGGCAACACACTCCACATGTGTCGCCGAGTACATTTTAAGAAAAAATAATGCAAATATATTTTAAATAAATTATTTATAGGAAATAATTATTATGATCAGTAAATATATGCATTACTGGCCATCCCAGACACAAAGGCAAGCTCAAAATAGCTACTAAGTGTATAGTGACCACGAGCGCTAGCCGTCAACAAGCTGTCCCCTTATCTCCCCCTCAGCGCTGGCAAGGAAGTTTCTAGAGGGTCAAAAATAGTTTTTCTTACTTCTTTTCTATTGTTTTCTCATTTTAAAAGCTTAACAATAATTTTTGTTAACGTTGACTTTTCTTGATTTACCCCCGGGTGGGAGGTACAGCACCCTAGACAGGGGCTTAAGGGTTAAATAACTTTAGATAAATCTCAGTTTCTATTTACGTGAGTCCTTCAATTAGTGATAGTGTATCATCACAATATTTTGACCCTAGGCAAGACTATGAGAAAACACGACATAAACCTTTGGTGTGAGGCGCTCCCATTGATGGTGATGAATGTCGTCCAAATACGATTCTTGTTTCAAAGAGAAGCCCGACTCTTTCTCTACCCAATACTACGGGGTTTATTGGTCATCCTTATATTTCTTTTTTTCTCTTTTCTTCTGTTCTTTATACTAGTAAGATGGTGGAGGAAGAATTGAGGAAAAGAGGGATTGAGTGAGGTTTATGCTTGAGATGGGCTGAATGGTGTTAAGGGGGACTAAGGGGAAATATGAAATAGATATTTTATTACTTATGGGACTTTATATTACTGCATACACCAAAGGCACTTAGAGAGGACAATACAGGTGCTCCTCTACTTACCAACGAGTTACTTTCCTGAGGCTTGTTTTAAGTCCAACTTTACTCTTGTAGATACCAAACATATTGTAAAAAATTGAAAGATTATGGATATTTAGTACAGCTATACCCTTTAATACAGCCTTAAAACCCGACTCACTCTTCTCCTCTAGTCTCATCCACATTAAACACCTGTTATGGCAGGTAACCCCCTCAGTGATGATGTTTGTGTCTCTGAAAGTTTGTAAGTTGAATGTTCTTAAGTAGAGGAGCACCTGTACTCTACTCCATACACAAGGGAATTGACAACTAATCATAACGGTTCTTCGTTTATTAACGTCGTTACTCAAAATGAACAGTTACACTTCTAAACAATAACTTACCTTCCTAGCTAGCTAACCAGGGGTCACATGAATCACAATACATTTCATGAAACGGTTATAACCTAAAAGGTACTCACATTATACCCAACCATATGAGGAGATGACACCCACACACACTTAACTCTCTCCAAAACCCAGCTGTTGTTTTAAAACCGTGTCTCTCACAAAGGACACCACCTCCTCATAACGTCACATTTCACAGGCTCTCTTATTGGTTCGGGCCTAAGGCATTCACCCTCACAGGTCCCTGCGATCGGCTCAGGTTTGGCGAGAAATACTCACTCGTGCCGTTGTTACATCCTTATAATGCACACAACTCACCAATACAGTATTTGGGTTATGTTTCATCTAGTATGAAAAGCACAAATATTATTTCAGGGGAGTTACTTCTAACTTTCTGTACTTCAGTGCTTTTACTTAAGTAATTCTAAATAGGGTTACTTTTGCTTTTATTTAAGGAGCTTTCTCCACAAGTAACTGAACTTTAACTTATGTAACTTTATCAATACCTTCTCCACCTTGGACTGTTTATACTATACCAAGTTTTGTGGAATTTTACTGAAAATTGAGAGACAAGTTACACGTGACACTTACACTCAAGACAGAGACACACACTGACTGCTCTACATCCCTGCCCAGCAGAGAATGACTAGAGTAGATGACAAATGGATGATCCTTAACTCAGGCACAGACAGGGTACAATAATAAACAGACTTACATACCCTCACTAGTCTAATGGTCAGAGGCAAGAGTAACATGCATTCTCACTTTATTTATTGTACTCTATCTAGATGTCATTTGAAATGTACTGTACTCTACTATGGTCTCCCACAACATATCAATCTACTTTACTGTCACTTCATACAAACAGAAAACTAAATACTGTACTACATATATCAACACATACAATACAGTACTACACAGGATTGTAAGCTGTCCAAGTTGACAAGGAGATCTAAAATATATATGACAAATAATGTGAAGGAAGTGACATTAACTTATGCCTTGTTGCCCAAAATGACAAGTTAGTAACAATATGAACAAGCAAACAATTCAGAACTCAGAGGCCTACCTGATTGAGTAGGAAGTCTCCGCCAAGAGGGGACTTGACAATAGCGTGCTGTAGAACATAGCCATCATGAACAGGAATGGCAGAAGTGTGCGTAGCGCCAGAATCCAAGACTAAACCGGTAGATCTCCCATTTGCAAAAGCAGCAAGGACTGCTGACTTGACCAGGAAGAATGCTGGCACCTGGTTAAGTTCAAAGAGAAATAAATATATGTACAAGCTTCATGTACAAGGGATTAATTCAAATTATAAGCCAAATCTTAAAGTAAGAACAAGAGTTTAACAACAATGACTTGTAATTTATTTACAACATAAAAATTGTGTTTTTGTATGTGTGTACGTACATGAATAAAACTACACTACTGTACTATGTAAAAGTGAAGCACTGTACTGTACAGTACTGTAATGCACTGTACTGTATTGTACTGCACTGTACTGTACAGTACTACAGTAATGTAGTGTACATTAGTAGTCAACATAGTGTCAGCGAGTAACTTTACAACATGCACACATCGAAGAAAAAATTGCCATAACTAACCTGATATTTCTCAAAAACCAGCTCACAGAGGCGCTCTCTCTTGCCTCGAGCATTCCACTGAAAAAGACATACTTATTACACAGAGTAAACCCACTAGGCTTTATTCACACTACAAGGACGGTCATGGTCCAGTCAACTATTATTACATGCATGTTAATGGGAGCATCCACAGACACGGTCAAGTCAAGGTCCACTCAAGTGACGACCAGTAGAAAGATATTTTGACCGGAGCGTGACCGTCACTATAGAGCCTAACTCTCTCTCTCTGGCCAGCCATCATAATTTAGAGAGTGTAATTGGTAAAAACTGAGTTTTATTACTATTGAATTTAACCAAGTTTCTACCTCCCCATTCGGAGATCCTGCACAGATCCGCATCGATAGAAGTAATGATAGCAGCTCTAGAAACAGATCTAGTTTGAGAGTTAGGAGGAAGGGGAAATGTGAAGAAGAGTGAAGAGTAGAATTATCAGCGTAAGAATGGATAGAAGTAGTTCTAGTAGGGGAAATAACAGAACCCTGTGGGACACCACTATTGGTAGAGAAGGAGCGAGAGATCGCTCCCTCGACAACAACTGGCATGGATCGGCTCTCAAGGAAGCTAAAGATTAGAAAACAAAGTGGGGGAGAGAAACCAAAAGAGGGAAGTTTAGAAACTAAAGACTTGTGTCATACCCTGTCAAATGTTTTTGAGATGTCGAGGGCCACAATGAAAATTTCCCCATAATCCCTAAGAGAGGATGACCAAAGATGGGTGCAATAGGAGAGCAGATCACCAGTAGATCTCACCTGGCGAAAGTCATACTGGTGATCCGACAAAAGAGAATGGCGTTCAAGGTGACGGAGAAAATGAGAGCAAGATAGTTTCGAAAATCTTGAAGAGGGATGAAGTTAGGGCAATGGGGCGATAGTTAGAAGGATTAGAATGGTCACCCTTCCTCGGGATGGGCTGAACCAAGGCATGCTTCCAAGAAAAAGGAAAAGTTTTCGTTTTGAGGCAAAGGCAAAAGAGGCGAGCAAGCACGGGGGCCAGGGCTTCAGCACACTCCCTCAGAACACAAGGGGGTATTCCGTCCGGTCCATGCGCCTTACTCACATCCAACCATGATAACACACCAGCAACCCTACGAGTGGAGATTATAGGAAAGTGCATAGGTTCAGTAGGAGGTGCAGGGGTAGGAGGGGTAGAGTGGGAATCGTCTTAGGTGGAGTTAGAGGAGAATAAGGTGCCAAAGAGATTGGCTATATCAGGGGGAGAGTTGGCTATAGAGTTATTGGGACGGAAGAGGGGAGGAAAAGAAGGCGTGCAGAAGTTATTACATATGTTTTTGGTTAAGGACCGGAAGGATTTACTGGAGGAAGAGTTAGTCAGGGCAGCGGTCTTTCTTTTTTATAAAATTCCGCTTGGCCCTATGAAGAATAGCCTTACAACGATTCCTATTAGTAATGAAAGAGGTGTGGGTAATAGGAGAAGGAGATAGTTTCATAGCTCGATATGCCCTATCTCTCACCCTGCAAGCACGAGAGCAGGAGCGATCAAACCATGATTGTAATGTGAAAGTTTTGGTAGAAGATGGGATAAATGCACTCATACCGCCCTGTATAACCCCAGCAATGCTGTCAGCACATACCGAGGCGTCCCGAGTGGAAAAGCAACATTCAACTCAAGGAAAGTCGGTGAAGAATTCATGCAAGGATTGCCAGTTTGCCCTCCGATAGTGCCATAGTTGGCGTTTAGAGGGGGGTGGGGGAGGTGGTCGTGACCAGTTTGGGTTAATAGAAATAAGATTGTGATCAGAAGACCCTTAGGGGGCAGAAATTGAGTATGAATAGTGTGAGGGGTTAGAGGTAAAACAAAGATCGAGAATGTTAGCATTGAAATCCCCTAGGTAGAGGATCTCGGCGTTGGGGTGTGTGGATAGCAACGACTCATAGCAAAAAGTGAGACAGTCAAAGAGTTCGAAATAGTTGATAGAGTTGGGAGAACAGTTTAGGGAACAAAGAAAAATAGTCATAGTTGGTAGAGATATTTTGAGCCAGATGACATCATATAGTGAGTTGTATCCATAATGCACCCTAATGAACAGTTAAGCCTAGGAACTCCCTCTCAACACCCAGAGAGTGATGTAGTGGTTCACTTCCCACCTAAGGGGTTGAGGAGTGTGACCATGTCTGCCAGTTAACAGGCATCCTCCCTCAGTCTTCAGGGACATCAGTGCATTTGATACACCCTTCAATGGTGTTTCCTTGTGGGTAGTGGATATAAAAGGTGGAAACAAAAGGCAAGAGGGCACAGAGGGCCTTTAGAGTACAGTATCAGGTTAAAACAAGCACAGAAAAGGATGGAATGTAAGGTTGGAGATAAAGATGGAACACAAGGGGTAGTGTAGTACAGTACTTCATTCTTTAACTTACTCATGACAGTAACACATGGACTTGGAATGGAGAACAGTGCTCGGAAATTCAAGCTACAGACACGAGTTACTAAAAGGCAGAACCAGGGATTGCCACGATGGAGAGGGTAGGAAACAGTGAAGTGTACGGGGTGAATAAATCGGTAGAAAAGACAGGAGGCAACAACTGGTAGAGTGGGTGAAGCTTAGTGTGGCGAGAGGGGACAGTCATGTGAGAAGGAGGGGAGGACAATAAGAGGCTCGCTGGGTAACGGAGGGTAAGGTGCAGCTAACAGTGGTACACTCTCACAATTGTCTGGTCTCCAATACTTTACTATACACAAAAAACATTAATTAAATTATTACCGTGGCTTCTGAGAAGAGAATGGGGTGGTACTGTGACTCACTCTTGATACACTTCTCATACGAGTAGTCCAGCACTTTCTCGAAGGTATCCCAATCTTCGATCATGCCATCCTTCATGTAGTTAACCACCTCACAGCCTGAAAAAAATTAAACAATAACATATTGGCTATATTGTTCATATTAATCAGGTTAATGGTCAAGTGACAACATTCTCATCACCTAACTTGCTATTAGTCACTCATGATGATACTGTAGCTTGATCTTTCTTTCAAAAAGTGTACTCGGTAACTTTTCATGTCAAACCATCAACTATTATCTATGTTCACCTTTGGCCATGCTACTACTGTACTTCACTTGAAATACTTCTCAAGTCGCTGTCATCTTAAAATATAGTTCTATCCAACATGTATTTGGCCGTACTGTACTCATAATGTCCTTCTCATCTCTCTCCTTGTGTGACTCACTACAATACTTATGTTGATCACTCGATGTGTACTTGTTGGCGGTGAGCATGCTGTCATTTGTATGTGAGCAAGGTGGACACAGAGCCTCAGTCATCCCCCTGTCAGTCCACCAAGTGTTCTGTTGCTCCTCATCAACATCTGCTCTATGATTAGATTAAGTGACACACGCGTCACTCCCCCGTACTATAAGGTATCCTTGCATCAAGTGTTCATACACACTTAGATACGTCTCAGACAGTTGTATCATCTTTCCCAGGTAGATGTGAGCTGATTTTGTGTAGGAATTATGTCCCACGGCTGCACAGTATGGGAACATCTCTGCCAGTGACTGTAAAGTAAAGGCAACATCCAGTCACCAGTTTTCTTTGGTTTTATAAATGTGTTCATTAAATGTGTTCATTATATCCAACATCTCCAGTTATTGTAGCTGAAGATTTGTAGTCCTTCTCTTTCTTAGTGCTGTACTGTGCTGTACTGTGTTGTACTGTACTGTGTTGTACTGTACTGTGTTGTACTGTGTTGTACTGTACTGTACAGTACTGTACTGTGTTGTACTGTGCTGTACTGGGCAGTCTGGGGGTCGGCCCAGTCTCCATTTCAATTAATCCCATATGTTCTGTTATTTCGTTTACGCGTTTCGCGTTATACGCGGACCTCCATGGGTTTAATTGACTGCGTAAACCGAGACTATACTGTATATAAAGTACTGTAAAAAAAAGCTTCCATTAAGCAATAAATCAGGAATAAGGTTGAAACATTACACTGGTGACCAAACTAGGATAATATTGTTTGAATTCTTTTTTTCATTTAAAAATATATTTTTAGACAACCTTTTTTCATTGAGTAGTTTATTAATTGTTTCTTCCCAACATACTACTGTAGAGGCTGCCTTTGTTTGGGTAAAAAAAATATATTGTTTATGTATTAATTAGTTTTGGGTTAAAATGCATGGAGCCCAAACTACAGGTACTGTTATCGCCGCTGGCTTTTATCGTTGGTGTCAGCAACCACGTGCCTCCCCCACCCCACACGGCCTGTTACCACACCAGATGTGGCGACTAGGGGGGGGGGTGTTTACCGCCGGGAGTGTCATCACCACTGGCGTGAGCGCTGAGAGGGTGTCATGGATCTCATGACACAGATCGCCCTCTCGAGTGATGCCTCCCCCCCCCACACCACCATGCGACCTGTTGCCTCGACTCGACAGATGTGGCAGCTGGGAGGGGGTGTGTGTGTGTGTTTATCACCGGGAGTGTCATCGCCACTGGCGTAAGTGCTGACATCGCTGGGAGTGTTTTTCACTGCTGGCGTCAGCACTAGTGTCAGTGCTGACGTTTTTTGCTGCCTTACCCAACAAAGATTAGGGGGGCGGTGTTTACGGCGAAGAGATCATGACTCTGCTAATGTATGGTTTAAAAGGCGGCGTGGCCACCTGGACACTGCCCCCTCAAGTGATGCTGTGAGGATCAACACTCTGCTAGCAGTGGTGAACAACAACTCCCAATCCTGGCCGAGTATTTGTACTGGAACAATTTACACAGAACTATCTTCCCTTGGAACACCATACTGGTTCGCCTTGACCCGCACTTGTAAGTACAGCCAAAGTGATGACATAACCCTCAGTAAGGAAATATTGTGGACTAATTATGCCCACTCGTTCCTGCCTTATCTGGAGCAATAAGACAATGCGGAATGAAGTGTAGCTAAGATTAATAGAGTTATGAACTTTGTATCATGTCATTATGCTCAATAATCAATTATAATTAAGATAAATTGTGTGAGACTAACTAATTATGTATCAGATAGATCACCAAGTAATACTAATGAACACCTTGTTGTCTGCAGGTTTTGACCACATCAATAAATATTGAATGCGTCAAAAGACGAGTTTCAATCATTCCCTTTGACTTGCCCGTCACCTGAACGTCCTTAACTAAGGCGTTTACAGGTACCGTACATGTTTTGGTCAACTGTGGCCTACATGTTGAGCACAATTAAAGACAACAAGTTTACTAGAGGTACAGTATTCTCTATTGGTAATACGTACACCAATATCTTTAAACATATGGAAAATAACTTCAAATAATTTACTTTTCTGTCAAATAGTAGAGTTTAACAAAAAAATATAATTTCTAGCTTAATGGTCAACTTCTGGTGTGTAAGGTGAGGGAGGAAACAAGGGGTGACAGCCTGCAGCATCCTTCTCACATGTCCACAAAAATTCCCTTAACCCAGTCAGCATTAGTACAATACAGTACAGTATACAGTACAGTACACTACAGTATTCAGAGAACTTACTTATGTGGCTCAAAACTACAAGTACTGTACTGTATTGTGCAGTACATACAGTAATACCTTTTCGGGGTACATGAAGAGCAACTGTGTCGACAAAGTACTTCTTCTCGTTAGTCTCTTGGTCCTCAACGACTCCTACCCATGATGGGATATCAAATTTGGGGGAATCTTCACCGGCGTAGCCCACACGCAGCGAGGAGTGCCCGGGGTCAAACACCAGGGCTCCCACCTCATCTGCAACAACAACAGGGAATTAGATTATGTGATGCTGACAAACTTATTTACCCACAACAATTTGTACAGTGTATTTAACAATAAAGAAACATTATCGACAAACACGGCAATATGTTAAACCACTTTTTGCAGCTTATTGTAAACACACATGCGTACAATATTTTATAGCAGTAAGTTTTACAGAAACAGGAATAAAAAATGTGATATTTGGTATCTTTCCAACTTTACTGTTGGCTCTCTCTTACAGTACAGTACAGGGTACTAGGGATGTACCGATGTATAGGTATCGGTGATATCGGCTAATTTTCTGCCGATACTTTCATAATTATATTTAGTTAATTTTCATCTCTGGCAGCAGTTAAAACTATCCATTTCCATTATTACACATATGGCAGATCTTACCACTAGTAAGCTGGTCTCAAATACAACTAGCAGTTATATTTTCTCTAACAAATATTATATATTTTGGGTCAATAAAGGCATTTTATCTTTGTTCAATGTACAATATTAAAATACAACATGTCCCCACTCGTTGGAACAGCACGTATTTCATGTTAGACCGCATATTTGAACAATAAACTGCCATCGTAAACAACTGCCTAAGACTCCAAACTCCCTGTGTTTGATGCAAACAAATGGAACCTAACAGTACAAGGGCTACCAGACCCCCCCCACCCCCCTGTCTATTTAAGTGCTGCTATGTTTTTTTGTTAGTTGGTGTCTGTATCTTCCCAAAACAATCTGATGTACGAGCCACAGCTGGTTGCAGGTACCCGGTTATGGGAAGCAAAGATGGCCGCCATGCTTTGTCGGTGAAATTTTAGAAAATGTAACTTTTGATCCAGTTGGCCTACAAACATCCTTAAGGGATCAATTTACACTAATTTGGGGATGAGAAATTCACTGATCACATTACTTTTGCATTTTGTTGTCATCTTCATGCCCAGAAATCCAAAATGGCCACCAGAAATGTAAAAACTAGCAAATTTCTTACCAAATCATTCATCTTTTTTATTATTTTTCACACCAAATGATCATTTTATCTCATCTTGTCTTTCAGTAAGATGTGAAAACAGCAGACAAGAAGCCACTGAAACTCATAAAAGAGCTTAAGAAGAATACACTTGACTGCATCATTTGCTTTACACCAACATGGAAGGAGATCAGTCCCATTAACCAAGAAATCTTTGGGTCAATAACAAAAGCTGCAAGAATCTGTCAACTAAGTGAAAAAACTGACTCTGAAAGGTGCGGTGTGAAGCTCTTCCAGATGCCATTGTCCATCACCAACATGGTTATCACCGAAATTGTTATCAGAGATTCACGACTACTGGACTAGTAGAATTACAAAACGTCAGCATGAAGTAGAGGTGAAGTACAAAGTCCATTTAAAAGGCGGAAATGTAATCCTGTCTCCCCAAGTACAACTCTCCTGCCCCAAGATCAATGCTTCATATGCTCAAAAAGGGTCAAGAAACATAATCAGAAATATGATCCATTGATGAAGCTGAAGTCAAGAATATGATATAAAGGAGAAAGCTCAACTTATACACGACCGTAAAATCCCGTGTCTGCTGGGCCTGGATCTCGTAGCAAAGGAAGCAAAATACATGTCACAAATCTTGCTATTAAGCATACATCCCCCCCAGAGAGGCTCCACAGCTACACCAACTGGTGTGGAAGCTCATGCCAAAGAAGCATTAGTTGCCCATGAAGCTGCATTCCAGCATATTGTGTGAACATGTCGAGAAGCAGATCATCCAAGGATGTTATGTCTAACGAATCACAATGTTACAAGAGAGATATCTTCAGTACCCGCAAAATCACCATTCACAGTTTTATAATCCAGATTACAAAACATGTAAACTCAAGGCAAAGATAATTAACCATTTTGGTAACTGTTGATTTCTGGCAACCAAACTACCGCAGTGAATTGGTGTATTTGTCCAACATTGCACAAGGTAAGGCAGTAGAGGCTGAAGCTGCTGCCTCAGACTCAAGGATCCTTGAAGAAGCAGCACTCATTTTGAGGAGAGAAGTGCTAGACCATGCAAAGTCTTTTGAGCTACCTCTCCACCAACACTGCGTCTCCTTCATAAATAACGCACAGCATTCCCATACACGTCACGCGGCCAATCAAAAGCGTTTTTTATTTTTTCAACCAATTAAAATTATTTTTGGATTAATTCGCGGTACTTTTGGCCCAATCAAATTCGAGCTTTACTTTGGGTCTCATATTTCGAAATTCAAGTTCAGTAACTTCAGTTCTGACCATGGCAGTCTGTGATTGGAGTCACTTCAATTATATGGAGCTGATTAGACGTAGAAACTGTAGCATTTTTTCGATCGCATGGTGTTCTTCCAACCTCAGTAAAGTGTACTAAGAGCAAGACAATGTAAATATCGCAAAGACCAACGTATGTGACGCTGGGTAAGAATACCAGAATCTAATGACGAACAAGAACCAGGTCAATAAGGTAAGAAATAGGCGATTCCCTCATATGGTGAGAGTCGGTTAGGTTAGGTTAGGTTTGGTTTTTGTTTTTCTAGCGTTTTTTGGTGTATTTTGCCATGATTTTTTTTCGGAAAACATCCAAGGAAAAAAATCGAAAAAAAAAAGCTAATTTCCTCCATAAATGAAGGTCATATTCGGTCTGAACACACACAGATACACTAGAAAAATATATTTTTGACTTTCTAACAGAGAACAGTGTAACAATGCAAATTTACCTTTTATTTTATTTGATACTGATTTTTGTCAGAAATCGCTCATTTTTAGAATCCCCCCACGACCAAAATTTGATTTCCAACAAAAAAACAATATCAAAATTGAATAAAACACATAAAAAACACCGTAAAAACACATTACTCAATTCATAAACCAAACTAACCTAGAATTACTATCTTAATTAGCAGTGGTATTGTTAAATGTTCAACCAATATGCAGCCGAAAGTTTCTGAACCCTAAGATGGCTCTCCACGAAATCTAATAATTTTTTTAAGTTAAAACCATCGACTGCATATTGGTTGAACATTTAACAATAAAACATTTGTCTTCGATAGAATATTTGTAAAGTCGGTGGTTACTAGTGTGTGCTAGAGTACCCTGTAGTGGACGTACCCCTACAACCCTCTCCTTCACCCTCGCCATCAACCATTCCTCATATTCTTTACTTTGACTCTTGCTACAGTTACTCACCTCCACCATAAACACCGCCACTCATGGTACAACACTCTGGCAACCTTTAACACACCGACTCTTCTTCCTGGCGTCTCCTCTTGTTGTGTTTGGGGCAACACTGTTTATGTTGGTACACTACCACGTACACCACCACCAACCTAGTCATTCTTGTCAAGTGAGATAAGCTCACTAAATATTGTGTATTCAACACAAATCTCTCATATTTTTATGACATAACAAACAATTTAGTGCTCCAGCCTCCAGTTCGTATAATTTTTAACATTACCTGTACTGCGTTTTTGTTTAGGCTCGTTGTGCTGCCTGCAGTGGAAAACTTTATATATATATATATATATATATATATATATATATATATATATATATATATATATATATATATATATATATATATATATATATATATATATATATATATATATATATATATATATATATGCTGATAACCACAAGGAAAGAAGAAAACACCAAGTTCCCAAGCGCTTTCGTGTAATTCACATCTTCAGGTAAAAAATATGAGACCCACTGATCATCTATCCTACATCTACCTCAAATGCTTTCAAAGCTGCTACAAACTAACTGAGACCCAGAAGGAAAACTTTACCCCATGAATATGAAAAACCAATTTTACTCTTTAAATCTCAGGATTCAATTGAAAGAAATTTTATTGAATCAACATTAATTCAAAGAACCACAAACTTTAATGTATGAAGGCCAGTGCAAAATTGATTATATAGTTTATAGTATTTGATACAAAGAGTTGAACCGTAAAGGTCATATTCGCAAGGCTAAAGATAGTCTTAATACCCCAGCTCCACCAGGTCAGGTCACTTCTAATCCTCTCTCCTTCGTGACCTCACTCAGCCTAGACTTACCAATATACAGTACTGTACAGTATATAAACACAGCTGTCTTCCATCACCAACAGGTAAAAACATCTCCCCATTTTTTTTTTTTTTTTAAGAACGGGTGAAGAAAATGGTCAAGTCTGGTCTTGAAACATCTCACACTCGGTGCCGTCACAACACTCTCTGGCAGATTGTGACGGCACCGAGTGTGAGCTCTTTCAAGACAAGACTTGACCAACACTGGAGCGGGTTGAGGTACATTCAGGAGCCGGTGCATGCCCAGTACTTGCCAACAGTGCGTGACAGAGACGTGACCGATCGCCCGGGCGGCTAGCGAGCCGATCTCTAGGTGAAGAAGATAAATGAAAAGGAAAAGTAATCAGAGACGTGACCGATCGCCCAAGCGGCTAACGAGCCGATCAGTGGCGAAGAGGATAAAAGTAAAAAAAGAGTTCACAACTCTCACTCCGAAAAAGTTACCTCTCACCGTTATCTGGACCTGCTGCTTCTTCAAATTTGAGCTGTGACCCTTTGTGGGGCGAGCGTCCGCCAGCTCCAGGTAAGGGCACTCGACTGAGTAGTGCCCCTTGAGATGCTTTATACTGCCAGATTCTGGGGTCACTAATTCTAAGGGGATAACTTAACTCTACACTTAATTTTAAGGTCGCTGCCACCAGACCCCCACTGGACAGTATGTAGCTCGTTAGGTAGCGGGCAGAGTGAGCTAGGCATTGGGTTGGGTTTTTCATTGACCAAATCAATAGTGGGAAGAAGGGTGAAACATCAAGCATGACTTAACTAATTTATTCCTTATAAAACATATTGCATCCAGTCACAATACAAGAAGAGTTGGCCTTCCTCAAAACAACAACTATGATTTTAGTTACACGGCCCAACAATATACGTCTTACATTAGTTGCGTATCATTAACATATTCATTCTTCATAACAATCACTGACCTCCTTACCTCGGTCACTCCTTCTTACCATAATAACATAAGAACGTAAGAAAATAAGGAGTCTGCAATAGGCCGGTTGGCCTGTGCATGGCAGCTCCTGTCGAGAGTTACTACCACTATCATCCGTGAATCTATCTAGCCTCCTTTTAATACTTTCCAGCGTTCCAGAACTCACTACAAAGTTGTTAAGCTTGTTCCACTCGTCCACCACCCTATTTGTGAACCAGTTCCTTCCTATCTCCCTCCTAAACCTAAACGTATCCAGCTTAAATCCGTTACTACGAGTCCTACCTGCTCGGATATTATAAGAACTTCATCTATGTCTCCTTTATTGATTCCTTTCACCCACTTAAATATTTCTATCATATCTCCCCGCCCTCTTCGTCTTTCTAGGGAATGCAAGTTTAGTTTCTTTAACCTATCCTGATATGGAAGGTTTCTAAGTCCCGGAATCATTTTCGTCAGTCTTCGCTGCACCGACTCCAGTGAATTGATATCCATTCTATAATAAGGGCACCAGAACTGAACCGTATAATCGAGGTGCAGCCTGACTAATGCAAGATATAGTTGCAATAAGACCTCTGCACTCTTATTACTTACACTTCTAGATATAAAACCTAATACTCTGTTTGCCTTATTTCGAACATTAACGCACTGTTTTCTAGGCCGTAGGTCCGGGCTTACAAGTACCCCTAAATCTCTTTCACAAGTCGACTTCTCTAGGTTCATGTTGTTAAGACTGTATACATTGACAGTATTGGTTCTTCCAATATTAAGTAAGCTTGCTGGTGTTGAATTTCATTTCCCATTTCTCTGACCACTCTTGCAGTTTATTTAAATCCTCCTGTAGTGCATTTGCAACCTGCCCTGAATTAATCTGCCGCCCTATTTTGGTGTCATCCGCAAACTTGCCTATGTCACTGCTGATCCCAGTATCTACATCGTTTATGTAGATTATGAACACCATCTACGCTGACCCTCTGTGTTCTATCGGTGAGCCATGATTTTATCCAATTTAAAATTTTCCCCTCGATACCATGAGCCTTAACTTTTCTCAGAAGCCTCTGATGCGGTACTCTGTCATACGCTTTGCTAAAGTATAAGTAAATAACATCGTAATTTTCGTCATTATCTACTACCTCGAAGACTTTCCTAAAAAAACGTCAGCAGATCTGGTCCCCGAGATATGCTAGGGACTGTCAGTTGGTTGAAAATGTTCAAAGGAGGGCCACCAAGCTGGTGCCTGCACTTCGGCATCTCAGCTACCCTGCGAGATTGGAGCGCCTGAACTTGCCTAGCTTATACTACAGACGGGCAAGGGGGGACCTAGTTGAGGTTTATAAGCATCTCAGGGGGCACTACTCAGTTGAGTGTCCTTACTTGGAGCTGGCGGACGCTCGCCCCACAAGGGGTCATAGCTCAAGATTGAAGAAGCCGCAAGTCCGGAAAACCGTGAGGGCAAACTTTTTCGGAGTGAGGGTTGTAAACTCTTGGAACAATCTACCAGAAAGTGTTGTGACGGCACCGAGTGTGAGCTCTTTCAAGAGAAGACTTGACCAACACTGGAGCGGGTTCAGGTACATTCAGGAGCCGGTGCATGCCCAGTATTTGCCAACAGTGCGTGACAGAGACGTGACCGATCGCCCGGGCGGCTAGCGAGCCGACCTTTTGGTGAAGAATATAAAGGAAAAGAGTCGTGACCGATCGCCCAAGCGGCTAACAAGCCGATCAGTGGCGAAGAGGATAAAAGTAAAAAAAAGTAAAAGTAGACAAGATTTTCCCTTTGTAAACCCATGTTGAGAGTTGTAGATTAATTTGCTTTTCTCTAAATGCGATTGAATGCTATTTGCTATAATTGATTCAAGAAATTTCCCCACTACTGACGTCAAACTAATCGGCCGGTAATTTGACGCTGATGCTCTGTCTCCCTTTTTGAATATGGATACTACATTTGCCTGTTTCCACAAGTCTGGCACACCTCCCGTGTTTAATGATTTTGTAAATAAATTTACGAGGGGTCCGCTAATCTGTTCCTTACACTCTTTCAAAACTCGAGGGAAAATTTCATCCGGCCCTGGGGATTTTGTCTTCTTTAATTAATTTATCTTCTTAAGAACACCCTCTTTTCTGATAGTGATATTCTTTAATTTCTCTTCTTCATTTCCCCTAAATATCAGTTCCACCTCTGGAATTTTCTCGTGAATTTCTTCTGTGAAAACTGATAAAAAGTAGCTGTTCAATGCTTTGCTTATTTCCTCACTGTCATCGATCACTTCCCCTCTCCCTGACTTCAAAGGCCCAATTTTGTCCTTGACCTTTGTTCTATATACCTGGAAAAATCCCTTGGGATTCGCCTTGGATTCTCTTGCTATCCTGATTTCGTAGTTCCTCTTTGCCTTCCTTACATTTTTCTTAACATTCCTAGATAGTTCATTATACCTATTTCTGAGCTGCTTCTCCCCTCCCTTTAATTTCTTATTCCTCTCTTTATTCCTATGTCATGTTTAAGTTTTCTGGTCATCCACCTTGGCTCATTCTTATTTGACCTAATTTTTCAGTCTGGTATATTTGTTCTTGTCCTTTATGTAGTATACTAGTGAATATTTTATAGTCATGATCAATTGTTGTGTCATCTGTGACCTCACCCCTTCCTACTGGTGACTGACCTGACTGTTCCCAGGTGACCTCACCTAGGTACCTTCTTAACCCCTCATAATCCGCCAATCGAAAGTTTGGGACTCTGACCATGTTGTCATTGTTTTTCGCTTCCCAGTTTAGGGTGAACCTGATTTCTCTGTGATCACTGTTCCCTAGTTCTTCCCATACTGTGATATCTCTGATTATATTTTCTTTATTTGTTAATACTAGGTCTAATATATTGTTACCTCTAGTAGGTTCTGTAATAAGTTGTTTAAAAAAATTGTCCTGTACTGCGTCTAGGAAGCCTTCAGATTCATAGTCACCTACAATGTTGTCACAGTCAATATTTCTGAAGTTGAAATTCCCCATAATGCACAGGTTGTTGTATCTTGCTGCCCTACTCATTTCCTGCCATATGGGCTGAGCTGCTTCTTTCCCAAGACTTGGAGGCCTGTAAATCACTCCCATAATTAGTTTTTTTCTTCCTTCCGCGATTCCTACCCATACAGACTCGGTTCCTATTTCACCCTTTATTGAATTATTAATACAACATTTTAATGTATCCTTGACGAAGGGTGCAACCCCTCCCCCCTTCCTACCTTCCCTGTCCTTGTGAAAAAGGTTGTACCCTTCTATATGGTACTTTGATAAAAAAATCTTGCTCGCCAGATTCATCCACCTG